GTAAGGGTTAAGCGGAGTATTGACCTTTGGGACTGGGGGGCTTTGAAACCGGAACTGATGCACTTAGGTCCGAGCTACGGCTACGAAAGCCCTCAATTCTCCGCCACCCGCACGGAATCGCTCCGAAGAGATTTAAATTAGTTTCCTCGAAAATTGAAACATACTCAGGTTAAGTTGCCAAATGGCTTTGATTCATCTACATTTTCCGACGCTAGACTCCATCGACTTTTAACAGGGCTGGATTAAGGGGCGGGGGTGACCACATGGGCCGCGACCCACGGCGGCAAATCTAAGGGGCGGCAAAAATTTGCAATTTTTTGAATAGTAGGTAGAAAAAAAATCGGATTAATAAAAACAAAATTACAAACGAGAAAAGGCGACAAAATCTCTCATTTCCTGAGAGTATAGTAATTTCTAATTTTATCGTCTCTTAGTGATACAAGAGACAGCACCTTCAATAAGTCGAGTTAAGAGAGAAACCAAACACGCAATTTGGCCTGGAACGGCGCGACTTAGAGAGAAATGATAACAAGGACTTGAGATGCAAAGGAGAAGCCCTCGGCGCGGCGATCGGCATGTTACACATATTGGCGCCTACAAGACTGCACGAATACTTCACGCATTGCATCAAACACAGTGCGATCGGCGTGAAACGGATAGCGCCTAAAAGACTGCATGAATACTTCACGCGTTGCGTCCAACACAGAGCGTTCAGCAGCTTTCGGCGTGAAACGCATAGCGCCTACAAACCTGTCGGAATACTTCACGCATTGCGCCAAACACGGTGCGGTCTGCGCAGCGCGGCGGCGGAAGTTAAAATCATTGATCCACATTTTTGTTTGTTCTGCTTTCATAATTGTTTCGTTCATTTCTTATGAATGAAGGGCCTTGTCCACACAAAGATAGGTTTACGGAACTTAACATTTGCGCAAACTGCGGAGCAGTTTTGAATTAAGTAAGTGACCGAAACCCAACAATAGTAACACTATAATAGAGAACCCGAGTTTTTTTCACTCGAAATGTGACAACCTAGTGCAAGAGCAAGACTGGTATTTAAATCCGTCTCTCAATTCAGTCTTGACAATAACTAAGTAATCAAAACGATTTCAAAATTAATTTTTGCGCTAATGTCATTTTGGAGCCCCCTCTCGCCCCACAGAAATGACTCGTTTCTCCCACTCGGCTGGGCCGGCCTTTTCGATGTTCGCCGGCGCATAAGCGTCTCCGCCACGGCTCGAAACCTTCCGAGATTAATCGATTGCGAATTCGATATAAACCGACTTTGATTTAGATTTACCGCTTGATGAATTGCGCATTCGATATATCGTGTATTGTGACTATCACTCGATGCTTAGTGGCGGATCGACGTCTCAACCACGCGCTCGAAACCTTTCGATACGATTCGATTGCGCGCAGTGGCGTGGCGTGAATTGCGATGTATCGATTGTTATGTCATTTAAACCTATGGGAAAGAATCGATTATTAAGGTGTTTGCTGCGAACACCCTGCTTATCGATACTTTTCAATAGGTTTAGATGGTCGATAAATCTATACATCGCAAACCAAGCCTCGCCACTGATTGCGCGTTACAATTCAATAAATTCTGCTTTCGATACATCGAGTTTCGTGCTTGGTGTAACATCCGATGGTAGGAAAATCACGGAACGAGGAAGTATGGCTCATCAATCCGTACAACATTCCTTCGTGGCAATTACATTTATCCTTTGAACGTCGTTTTCGATGGATCGCGTAACTTTCGATATTTTTCGCGGGGAAAGGGGCGACGACGCGGAGGAAAACTGTGTAACTACCGCCATCTATTGATCTACTTTGCAAGATTAGTCGGGACCGCTCTTGCATAAGCGGACTCGCCGCTCGCTCCAATTTGCTCAGAGGATTTACAGCCTCCCCCCCCCTCCGCTCCTTCGCCGCGATTGGTAATTTATGTTTTCAATTTTCGCATATTTCCAAGAGCGGAATGATAAAAAATGGATGTTTGCGTGGTGTCGCAGCGCCCTAGACCAATAAAAATTCAGAGCGGCGGCGCACAGTGGAGCGAAGTCAATGTACAATGTTGGACATGATACAGAAACTTGAAAAGCACTTATTATCGATGGTACAAAACAGGAGAGGGGGTTGAAAGTAAATGTATTGGAGTCCTCGTAGAATTTTCTTCGACACGGACCCCTAAAAGTTTAAAATGTGATGAAATACACATCAAAATTTGCAATTTCAGTCAAAAATTTCATGTCCAACCTCTCCAAAAGCTCCCCTCACTGAGCGGCGCGCGGCGGAGATATCATAGAAATCCTGAATTTGTCAATTCCCGAACGAAAAAATGTATAATTACACTTGAACGAATTGGACTACATTCTGCAAACAGGAACTACAATTTCTAGTTCATCCATAAGAACACTCATGTGCATAAGGAGACTAGTGGTACGTACGTCGCTTCTAAACTGAGCCACGAATTGTAGTTCCCAATTGCAAAAGGTAGTCCAACTGTCTCTTGTGTTAACTTTTTTTTAACAGGGAACTAATCAGCACTGCAACTTGACGATATAGGGTGAACTTACAGATAGTTTAAAGCCGTAGAGTAGCTTAGTTTTCCATCAAAAGAATAAGACATGAATAAAAATTAGGAAACTTGAAAAAAAACCTGCAAAGATGCTGCTCCAGTGAACCCTCATGTTTCAAACCATTACTGGCCATAAGTGCACACCACTTAACGTAATTGCTTTAGTTGTTGCGCAGCACCGAATTAGTCGATATGGACATTAACTGGATTTAAATTTTTAAGAAAACTCACTTGCACGTGGTTCATTTCCTTAATACCGGTGACCGATATTAAGGAAATAAACAACGTGCAAGTGAATTATCTTAAAAATTTGAATTATTAAGTTCTTATGCGAACCCGAACATCAACGTATCAACTGGATTGGCTGTGTCGGAATCAGCCGTGGAGTACCGTTAGAGCAGGGAACAGACTATTTTTATCGGAGTGCTCGACGTCTTTTTGTCAAAAGAATCTTTGATCATTGTTGTTGCAAAAATTATACTTTAAAACTACTGGGATCATACAGATACAGCAAGTACAGTGCGTAAGCAACATTAAGGTAACAGTAAGTATACAGTAAGGAGCGACTAGAGGTCGATTTGGACGCAATTATGGTGATGATGAACAACCCTCATCCCCCAGTAATACCAAGTGCTAACTCGATTAATGTAAATTCATCTCTTACCTCATTTGCCTAATTCTCAAACTTGGAGAGTATCCGATAGATTTTACTTGGGAAACGAGAAAGATCCACCGACGCGACGGCACGTTTCTGCCCTCCCTCGGGGTTCGCAGACTTGCAAACTGCCGTGCTAAGGAAAAACGACGTTTGAACACTGTGACGTCGCTGACCTTCTCCCGATTAAAAACGAATTTCCTTGCAACTTTATGAAGATTCATCGTTTAATTTTCTTGAGATTTATCTTTCCAATTAGATCTAAAATATCTGGAAATTTCGAGGAAAATTATTCGCAACTTCTCTAAAAAAATAAATATTTATTCGGGAGGGATCCGGCAAAATTGGAATGTTCATGATACGTTCTTCCTCAGCAGGGCCGCAAAAAGCTCCCGGTCTGGAGAGGATTTGTTTGAAATGAACGCATTAAGTTTGCCAACATCGGTCTCTAGCGGATTTAAGCCAATTCCAACTTTCAACTTCTCATTTCAGCGAGTTAAGCGGGCTAGGATTGAAGTTTGAGCGGTCGGGTGACTTGACTCGCGGAGTTCCCGCAAACTTCCACCTCCGAGACCCAGATCTGTCGATTTGATGAGAAGTGATCGGATCAGACTCGTGGACTGGACGGGAAATTACCACAAATTAACCGATTCGAGGTTCTCTCCCGACGTTTGGATATTTCACCAGGTCAAACCATAGACGAAATATTTTAGGTACCCCGCACTGACATCTTATCTAAAGTGTAAAGTGCGCTTTCGGAAGTCAATGCCTGGTGATGACTAATAACCAGAGACTTGAGTAGTGTTGGTCAATATACCATCTTCCCATACCGGGCCATTGCCTTTCGATTGTGTCCCGTCTTCCCGAAAATGCACGGAACCTTATGGGGATAACGTGAGAAAAGTGTTTTTTACTCTTGCAGGGTGTCTACTAAAACAGGCTGGCCAAAAAACAGTACTTTTACGGTACATTCCCAAGAAATTCAGTACCTCCTGAACAGAAAAATTCAGTACTTTTTCAGTACCTTCAGCTGACGAAATTCAAAAATTTCAAAAATTTGCATTTTCTGCTCAAATTGCGACAAAATGAAAATAATTCCGGACTTTCTTGCGAAATTTCCGCACTTTTTCAGTACTTCCGGACCGCCCTTGGAAAATCAGTACTATTTCCGGACTGCCCTTGGAAAATCAGTACTATTTCCGGACTTTCCCGAAATTCCAGACTTGTGGACAACCTGCTCTTGAGAAAGGAGGTTTACACAAATATTACATTTTTAACCAAAGCTCGAGGCATGAAGGACCGTATTGGCCAAATTTATGCCCCTGAATCACGTATTTGATTGAGAGAAAGAAATTAAACAATGAAAATGGCTCCAAACGCGGGAAGCAGAATACAACCCGCCGTACGTAGACATGGAAGAGGGGTGAAGAGGCTTCCGGAAGACGCACTACTACACTTAGGCGTATAGTTAGGCTATGGCCGGGTAGTGCTCAGCATTCATCAGTCATCTTCTAGTGAATTGCATGCTCAACAAACCGCTGATCGATCATAATAAGGCAAAAAGTAGCGTTCACCTTCGACCTTAACTTTTGCCTCACCAACTACATGGATTGTAAAGTAATATTAGCGCGGGGTCTCTTAAACAAATTGCCTCTGGGCCAAGCATGCGTTCAATGCGTATTGTATGTACTATAAGGGATTCTCAGGGCGGATACACTCTAATTGGGCTGAAAAATTATCTACGACATTTCGAAAGAAAATAATTACCTTCAATGGAAGTTTTGACCACTTCTGTTTTCGGACGCGGTATCTCTCCTCAAAGCTGTTATCCCAGTATTCTCGGCTTTTCATCCAATACGGCTGAAACATGAAACAAAACGATCAAATAATGCGCAAAGCATACACTAATGAAAACAATACTTAAAATCCACGCCGTGTTGATATACAATCATGGTATTCAGAGTTAAATTTTAATTACCATTTGTTGATACAGAAAATTGGAGGATATATCACTTGGACAAAACAAACATACCAGATGCGGTTCACAAATTATTTGAATTAATATGTAATTCGCCAAATGATGATAACATCAATTTTTTTACGCTGTTCTTAAATTAATACAGTTTTTTAACGACGCGGGTTCCCGCCCATCGCCCATCTTTAACTTGCTGATGAACAACTATTCGAGTACTGTGGACAATATTTATGGTTAAGTACATTAATGTTTAATCTTTTTTCGGGACACACACATTCAGAGGCCAAGCTATGCAACGCATGGAGTATACAACGAGTGTTACTGAAGGGAGGATATAACTACGTCCAACCCCATTAAAATAAACAATTTGGTGACTCATAAAATACACTGACGCAGCTGGAAAGTTATTTAGCAGAAGAGTCAGAGAGATTTGATTCGGCCAACATCTGGTGGATTGTGAGGTGCATGAGGCGGACACGGAAAAATAACAGTGGATAGAAGGTCCGACCGAATCTCTTTTATTGCGTAATGTGATCACGAAGTATACAATAAACGGGAGTAGTGAAGTAGCGTACATTAAAACAAGGACCATCGCGCGTTTAAAGTACGAATGTGATTCTGTTTACGGCATCTACAATTCTCTGTTCGAATTAAATTTTTGAGTTTTGGTTTAGAATGGATCGAGTTGAAATGAACGCAAGCATGCAACAACTTTTCCTCATTTTAACTTTTGCTTGAAATAAGTGTCATTAATGTCGGATGTAAGAGTAAGGGCTGAAACATGGAAAATGGAAAATTTTAAAGTGCGCATGCGCAGAGAAAAATGGGGAACATATCGTCGCTCCTCTGGCGTAAGGGCGTATCTCGATTTTTGGACATTTTGAGTTAGGCATGTATTCTTATGTAGTTTGAGCTGCTCTTTCGATCTAGCCTACTCTCAGGTCCGAATTCCCAATAGTTAATGACTTATGGCCATAAAACTGAAGGGCGTAACTCGCCATTGCCGAAAAAAGGACGCGACGTAAGGGCGTATCTCTGCAGACGCGGCGCTGCACCCCTACGACGAGCCGCTTCCCGGCTTTTAGTATCTCATATGCCCGTCGTACAACGTGTCCGGTGACGGCGGGTTTTCAATTATATCTTAAGGAAACTTTTTGACTTGATATCATTACTATAACTTACATTTCTATAAAAGTATCAAATCACAGATCTCAAGCATGGAGTTCGCAATGCTGATTCAATTTATGCTAAGCTAGAACGTTCAAATTGAATTCGCATGTGCCGTCTACAGGCGAACGTCTGTTTCAGTGTGATACTTGCTCTCTCAAAATAATAATATTTTCACAAATTAATGCAAGTGGCAATCCTGCATATTACTGGTCATCTCCGCTTTTGTACGGACGGGTTTTCCCAGGCCGCCACTCAGGTGCTCGCTGCATCCTTTCAATCGTCGCAGAGGTAAGGCAGGGTCAAAGAAATAACCCTTAAGCACCCCAGCCTCTGTAGCTTTTAGAATGTGGTTTTCTGCCTCATTACACCCATCAACGCACAAATGGGAGAAACAGGTGGAAGGAAAGCCTACACTGACCATTCAAATATGATTTCCTCGGAACAGCTCAATGCAGGGCCGGAGAGTCGGTAGCCAAGCCGTCGTCGGCCGTGGGAAGAGAAAGTTGGGTCTATCTTTTGATTTCAAATATTTGACACCCTGTTTGTTCATCTGGAAAATGACCAACAATATTGTGATCTCGGAAGACAAACTGGAGACGGGTCCTTTGTCGAAAAATTCTTGCCCCGTGCCAGCCGGTGGCAGCCAAGCTCTCGCCACCTCTCTTTTCAGTCTTTTATTGCAAAAATTCGTGGTAATTGGGTAACCTAAAAACCTCAAGTAGACAGAATTTTCTAAAGGAGGATGAGAGGAGGGGCATACCTACTCAAACTCGTAAGTGGTCACTGACTCTTAGGGTCAGTCTTAAACTCTTCGCGACTTTGAAACGGCCTCCGGATTACGGGTGATGAACTTGTGAATAATTTGACCGTCGACATGGATGTGCTTGTGGAATGGACCAACGGGACTAAAAACGTTGTAAGTTCGGCTGAATTGGAGGCGATTCCTCCGGCGAAAACTCTAAGCTTAAAAACCGGCTCTCGCGTTCGGATGAACTATAAAGGAAAGTATTATCCTGGTACTGTTGTTGCTACCGAAGATGATGAGGAATCTCTAAATTTGAGTCCGTATCATCAAAACTCTTTGGACTCCGATGATGATTTACCACTCGCGAATTTTGCAGTTTTTGATAAAAAAAATAAATCGTGCCACAATTCCGAATCTCCGAGCCGCGAAAATATTATAGAGAAAAGTTGTTTGTCGGAAAAATCTCCAAGTAGTGTGCAAGATGAAATCGCGAATTGTCCTGATAGCAGCGAGCCAATACCGTGTATTGTGTGTGGCAGGGAAATATTCGCCGCTTGTGTTAATTGTTCTGCAGTAGTGTGTTACGATCATTTTTTCGAGGAAAATGTTGATTCAAACGCAGAGAGGTGGTTTTATGAGAAAGAAAAAAATAACAGTTATTAATAAAAAAATAAGGCAATTAATACAATGGGTAAACGCATTTTTTTTTTCTTTTTTTTTTAATCAACTCTTCTGAATACATGATAGTCAAAATTGTATTAGGGGTTCGTTGGCAAATAGGTTTTTAAAATTCGAAAACGAGTTGAAACTAATATCAAGCGTTAGCCGTGAGCTCTGCGGCATCAAGACAGGGGCGTAACTAGTTGCTGCGCGCGGAAACGGGTTTGACGTAAGGGCGTATCTTGGCATATTTCTTTAAACTCGTCTTAAACCTCTTTAAAAATCAATAATGATATAAAAATTTGACAAATCATGAATCCTGACCTTTTTTCCTATAAACCGATGAAAAAATGATCACCGTAGGTTGAATAGCTGAACGATGGCACGCAAAAGAAGATAGCGAAAATCTTATTTTCGCTCTCCTGAAAAGTAGCGAAAAACGAGATACGCCCTTACGTCAGAGGAGCGACGATATGATGAAAACTTTCTGCTTTCAGAATTTTGTTATTGACAACAAAATATCTAGCTTACAAATAAAATCTAGAGCTTCTTTTCTAATAGGTGAAATGATTTAATCAGCTTGCAGCTCGCATATGACGGATTGACGGCCATTTTCAAGAGAAATTCTGGAATTTTTTGTGGAAGGAAGTTAGGAAATGGCTAAGATTATGGCTGTGGCTGAGACCATGGTAGTGGCTAAGAGCCTGTCTCAAAGTGGAATAGTGCCAACAGAAAAATGGGAGCTAAAAACGACACGTAAAGTACACATGAACGATGATGTAATCTTGGGCTCGGGGGAGCCTGACAGTCGGCCATCATTTTTCCTTCAACATCAAATCCGGAATGGAAGAGGTGCGTGCGAAATTTGTTTCCCATCGATGTCGCCTGATGGCGCACTGGGTTAGCGTCGTCAAAGTCACGAGAGAGACGCACAGTTGCCAAATAAACCATGTACAATCAAAATCGATAGCGGAAAATTAGCCACGAAACTACGGTTTTGTGTCTACCATGGCGCCTGAGCAAATTATTACAGCAGCTTTCGTGTTTACTAGATTCAGGATTCAGAATTTTGAAAATAGCTACCAATTTTCTCTTTCACTCTGAAGGACCGTGCTTTTCACCAAGTCCGGACACAATTTGAATCTTAATACTTAAACTAGAATATGTTCAGTTGGGTTAGTTAGTTAGTTAATTTCATTGGGGACTTTCACCATCTTGGGCTACTAATGTCTTTACGGAAAATATGAAGGGTGATTGAAAATACAAAAATGTAGATTCTTAACTTAATGGAAGCAAAAAATTTTGAAAGTTTTGTTGTAACGCTAGGATCATCGTAGGTTAGTATTATACCACAAAAGTATTTTGCTGTAATTTCGCACCGTTGAGATGAAAGTTCTAAGAAAGATAGCGGGTTTTACACTTTGGGGTCGGCAGACCAGCGAGTCCATCAGGGATGCTCTTGGGGTGCAAGATGTAGCCAAGTGGACCAGAGGAGAAGGATGTGGTCGGAGCACGTTAAAAGAGAGACTAGAGAAAATTTGTATGACCGAGCAACCCTTAGGGAAAAGATTACCTGGAAGACCGCCTAAGAGATGGGCACATAGCTAGCTCTCTTCTTCTGAGGATGATCGAAGATTTTATTACGTTTTTATTGATTTGACGAGTACTTCATTTTTAATGATTTTAAGATTATTAATATTTTATCATTTCTTTTGCTCGGCACTGGCTGGCCTGACAAACAGGGCTGTGCCCTGGTCGTTCGTGAAAGAAGAAGAAGAAAAGTAAATCGGTGTACATCTTTCTGGAGTGCAGTTGCAGTTTTTTTAAATTAAAAAAATTCGTTTCCCACGAAAACTTTTGAAAAGGAAACATGCCAGGAAGTACCGTATCTCATACCTTGTCTAGAGGCCCAATTTCGAGTACAAAGAAAAATTTGCGAATAGAAGTTTCACAGAATTTTTTGATAATTTCCTTCGCCCCTGCTAAGTTGTAGAGACTTTCCACTCGACCCGTTCAACTGCAGTATAGTCCCTCGTAAAGTAGCAGTTTCATCGTCCCTCCGACGTAAGGGCGTATCCCAATTTCCACGGGAGCTCTGTTTTACATGTGCACCAATGCTTTCTGGGGCTCACGTGGCGATCGAGATACGCCGTTGCGTCGAAAGAGCGCCGATTTGTGCAAGTCGCTCATTCGTGTAAACGCGTCCAATTATTCAGACGGCGAGAGCATTGGGAGCATTCGTATGCGGAATAATTAAACGTTTGTGTTGGCGCAAGAAGAAGATGGAGTGACCGAGGACGAGGAAATATG